ATCCACACTTAGCGGGCAATTAAGAGATCGCAGTTGAAATGGTTCAGGTTTCTCAAAGAGCATTGTTGCACAATCTCTGACAATGTGTTGTCTTTTTTTAAATCGCACAAGCTCGCCACATCCTCCCAAAACCGCTGCAACTCCTGTGAACCAGTATCTATATTAGATACAACCATGAAAACACTAGAACACTGAAGTCCAGCGCGTCCCAGAGACATGGATAACTGTCTTGGATGTTGCAAGGTTTAAATCAGACGATACTACTAGAGGATAAGAAAAAAAAACGATAGTTCCCGAATAGTTCCGAGTAGTTCAATGTCTGTTAATCGACTTTGTGACACCTGTAGGCAGAATCGTTAAGTGTGGAAAAGTCATGCTTCGGCACGAATGGGTCGGCTTGACCGGAGTGATACCACGGCCTCACAGAACACTGACGTGAAACAACATTTGCGTTGTGTTTCATTGTGTGAATGAGGTTATGGGAGCCACAATTCCCCCTACCCAATCACCCCAAAGCTCGAATTCCCAACAATCTTAAAATTCCTAATCACTTTACGGCCGGTAACGCACTTTTAACACCTCTGGTGTTCAAGGTGTCCATAGGCAGCGCCGCTTGCTTACCATCAGGTAATCCGTCTGCTCGTTTACCGGCTTACCTTATAAAATATAGGCAAAATATATTCTGTACTGCCTTCACCAAGCTACATTCAAACCTGAGTCCACTAATATTCGAAGAAAATCTAATTCCCCTTCAGACCAGAGGTTAAAAGGAAATCTTCTGCACAAAGGCCCGGCTTAATTTCCGGACCGAGACAGTACAAGAGCCGTACTCCTGACCGGGTTGTTTGAAGCTGTTCAAGTGTCTTAAGTGCTGCTATAGGCTATACAGCTTGCACTCTAGACGGTACAGAAATGAAATACCTATGTATAGGAGATATTAATGTATGACACATGTCATATGAAGCTACTATGTCGCCAAGTTTTTTATTTATCGAATTATATTGTGCCTGTATTGCACGTGCTTTATGCGGATCCCGTTTAAAACGTAAGACATGTTATTGCTTCTTAGATTTTTTTCTGTATACGACGAACGACTTAAAAAAATGTATCATTATTTTGAAGCCACAAACTGTTGAACTTTCTATCCTCATGATTTAGAAGCAATTGATTCGTCATCAAGGTCACAGACATTATATTATAAATAAATAAAATAAGATGAAAATAAAAAAGCCTATTATTTCTTACTGAATTTTACAAAGTACAAATATAAAATGAAAACAGTTACTATATATCTACGGTAAGTATTATGATTTAATATTAACTTCAGTTTGGTTAGTGTTGTTAATTATATTATTATTTATCTATTTCATTATTATTATGGCATTCAGCAAGAACCCCGTGATGGGTAAAGACCTCCTCCAAAGTCCATAGACATTATGAATTCAAATATTCAACCCATCATCCTTTCAAGTAGATTCTGCTTAACTATTAGACTGACAACAGATATCTCTAAAACCGTTTACCCTTCCAACTTACGTATAGTTCAATCATCAATTTTGTCTCATAATTTGCCCCTTTATCCCATGTAATTGGATCAGGAACTTTGCCAATTTAGTACCATCGAGAATTAAATTAAAATTCGGAAGAGTTCTTCGATTAAATTGAAAGTTATTTATGTTCTAAAATTCTGCATGACGATCACTCAGTTCAAACAATTAGAACCTTTTAAGAAGTTATTCGACGGTTTGTTAAGTAATAGATTCTGTTGGGTCAACTTGTGAGGGAATTTAAGAATCAACTTAGTGACTGTTACTTACTTAGGAATACTTTTTGACCCCAAAGTTATTTCGTTAATCGAAAGGACAATTCCCAAAAATGTATGGAGCAACCCAGAATCAATTAAATGAATTAATATGTGACAAAGTGGAGTGTACATACAACAATACATACAATTTTGACAAAGAACTCAAAGTTAAGGTAGAAAAAGAAAACTTATATTGCGCTATGGGACGTAAGCTTTATGGGTTTTACATAACATAACATCACGCCTTTTATCCTCGAAAGGGTGCAGAAGTGCATATTACGGCACTTGATGCCACTATACAATGTAACACCCACTTTTACTATTTATGTTATCAGTCCCATGTAATAGGGGGTGAGAATATTGCCATACCGGGCACAATTCCAGACTCCGTGCTACTACTGAGTTTTTTTTAAAAAGCCCAGTAATACTTAACGAGTTCTAAGTAACCATATGGCACGATTGGTGCGGTGGCTGGGTAACCAGCTGCCGCGCAACGTGTCGTGGGTTCGATTCCCGCACTAAGCAACTTCTTGTGTGATCCACAAATTGTTGTTCTGGGTCTGGATGTCATGTGTATGTGAACTTGTATGTTTGTAAACGCACCCACGACACAGGAGAAAATATTTGTGTAGGGGAAACGTCGGACTACGTAAGATTTTGATCTCTAGCATCTAGCATACTACATGAACTAATTATTTTCGTTACAATTAAGAAAATCAACTTGAAATGTAAGCCACAAATGTCCAATTACAACGAAAGTATTCCTCCCTCACGTTCGCTGAGGCTTCTCAGAATCCTGCCTTGAGTTTTTAGCTCATTAATTTTTGTTATTTCGAAAATTAAGTTGACTTCTCGACTTTATTACATTTTCGCCCTCATGGAGTTCGTGTAAGGTTCGTTTTCAGTTGTTTTTGTGTTGTTCTGTACTTATTAGTCAAGTTGTATGGTTCGTTGGTCGAGCTACGAGAGTGACTTCAAAGGTTTGGGTTTGATTTTAGAGTCGAGTGAAATATTTTTTAATTTTTTGTTATTCATCTTTTTTATGGGAGAAACCGGTAAACGAGCAGGCGGATCATCTGATGGTAAGTAATTGGCGTTGCCCATGGACACTTGGAACGCCAGAGGCGTTACCAGTGCGTTACCGGCCTTTTGGTATTAGAAATTTGAGGATTGTTGGGGATTCAGGGATTGGGAAAGGGGGGAAGGGTAATTGGGCCTCCGGTAACCTCACTCACACGACGGTTCACAAACAGAAGACCGACGACGGTCTTCTGTGAGGCCGTGGTATCACTCCGGTCAAGCCGGCCCATTCGTGCCGAAGCATGGCTCTCCTACACTTGTTTGATCTATCAACCTACGTTTTAACTAGCATTATGTTTGAAGATAAAATATATACCTACTATATCTATACCACTTCCACACCTAAAGGGAGTTGGGGTATGATATTACTATATATTGTTATTTATATAAAACTTTTCAGTTGGTTTAAAATCACCGCCGCACCTGAATGATACCTATTTCATGAATTTTTCAGAAACCAAAACTTACATTACACTTTTTACTTTCAAATAAAGACTGTTGTTGTTCGTGTAAAAGGTTTTCAGTTTCAGGTGCTCTGTTTCAGGTATTTTATAATATTTTATACATTGTTTGTAATAAATGGGATTCTGAAAGCTTTTAGACCACAACATCTGCCAACCCCACTCTAGATAAATGGCTAGATAAAATTATAGCAGTCACACTATAGGTGGGTAACACTGATATTTACAAATTACTTATGTAAAAATTTATATCAATGCCATATATTGTTTTAGATTTTTATGACACACATAATGATGTCACATTAATATTATAAATATGATAAATTCTTAGTTTAAATGTTTTTCCGTCAATCACCCTGAAACTACTAATTTTATTGATATTTGGTATACAGGCAGAGTATGGGCTGACTTAGGTGATAGGATACTTTTTATCCTGATTAAATGCTCCTATGGGATAAAACAGGAATCATATTCTACGCGAATGAAGTCGCTGGCAACAGCTAGTGTGTCTGTATTTCACAACAACATAGTCTTATTACAATTTAATCCACGATCACTAACTACAGACAATTTACAAATAATAAAAAAGAATTGCTCCGTGCCCGTCCTAAGTATCGAACCCACCGCTCGGCAGTAAACGACACCCTTCTCCTGACCTTTAGAAGTAACATCTCTATAAAACTTTCACTCGCAAAATTAAACTAATCCACCGCCACCCAAGCTGGTACTTCGAGCGAAAGAACCCGAAATAACCTAACAAAGAATATCTATTTATATTAAGAACATTTCTGACAAACAAACTTACAAAATATTCTTTGATATAAATACCCACTCAGTGGCAGTATCTAAAACAATTTTATCGAGTCTATATTCACAGAACCCACCTCACATTTGAGAGTTAGGACTATTGAAAAAACATCAATGAATTTATAAATAAAAGGTTTCTGCAAAGTTCGCGTTTGATCTGAACACAACAGACGTCTATCTAATACGTCATAATATCGGCCAACTGTTGTTTTATCTCGACACAGACGAACAGACATTGTCCCCCGGCGGTGCCTATTCAATATGCATTATGCTAAACAGATGCGACGTCCCTTTGTTTACGGAAACGCGCCGTTTTGATAAATAAGCTCCGAGCTATTGGAAAACCGAGGACACCTCCAACCGATCTCACTGTCTCAAGCCGTACACTTCGCTCAAACACGCGCCGGAAACTCATTGTACTCCTGCGAATATTGCGGATCCGCTGTGTTTTCAAAAGTTTTAGCGTCGATATAGCGTACTGCTATATTCACTTCGTGCGTCCCGGTTTATTTTTACCTCAAAAGTAAACTCAAACGTTCTTGTATCTTGATTTATAGTGGCCTCGTAAATACTGCTCAACATGATTCACGATGACACAAAAATATTTTAACGATGGGTTTTTTAACCTAATTTTATTCCCAACACGGGGCGACTCCGAGACTCCTTGTTCTTCCGCGTTAGTCTTACGATAAATTTTCTCCATCGGAGCACTCACAAGTCATCGCAGGAGGCGAGCCGGCCGCATGCCAAGTTTTCCGTTTCGAAGTCGAATTAAAAAAAGATGTTACACTAACTTTCGCGCGTGTAAATATAGTTGAGGGTGAACGAACGTGTTCACTAGCACTGACCTCCTTTCTGCGTGATGTTGAACGTGCGGAGTCGGTACGAGTCCTCGTCGGGCTCCTCCTCGGGCTGGTGCGGCGCATTCCTGGGCACATCCAGGAAAGCGTTGGAGCGCCGCGGCTGATTGTGCTGGCCGGGTGGCGGGCGGCGGCGGGCCGAGGCCTGCCTTCGGACCTGAGGCGGAGTCTCAGCCTCAGCGAGGCGAGGCTCCGAGCTGTACCGGGTCCTGGTCTCTCTGTCCAGTTGTTGCTGCTGCTGTTGCTGGCGTCGCTGCCTCACGGAGCGACCGCCAGTAATCCTGGCAGATTGGGACCGCGCAGCAGGCCTCCGGCGAGGCGCTGGCGTGGTCTCCATGGGAGCTGCAAGAGCTTCCATACTCGCGGAGGCGGGAGCGCATATCGACTGCGAGCGCTTCGTACGTCCGTCCGTAGCCATGGTCGCGACGATACTGAAGCGTCGAGTGGTGTCGGGCGCCGTCGGCTCCCTCCGCACCGCTGCCGCTGGGCGGGCGGGAACTTGTTGCATCGCGGATTATAAGATTAGTGCTCTTTTAAATGTCACTAATTGTCTGTTGTTTTTATGAATGGTTACAGAAGTGGTTTCAGTGTGTAAATATAAAAGTTGTGTATTGTTCGCGGTCGCCGGTCGATTTGTTTAACACACAAAGTTTATTCAGTGGGTAGGCAACTTTCTGAATCACTGAGCTGAGCTTGTTAGGCCATTAGATACCTACGTTTATTGATTTACACTTTTGTTTAGTTACGGTTTTCTTCAGTGTGGAAAGAAAATTCCAATCGGTTGTAAAATTTATAACAACTGTGTTTAAAGTCGAGAGATTTAGAGGAGAAAAGTAGTGTTCAGATGAATTGCAGTAGAATTTTCTGCTTCGTTTCAAACCGTTTGATACTGGCTACTGGCAGTGGTTTATGGACTGCGTTGAGTTATGAGGTGGATAGCCCGGTAGTAATGGCGCGGCTTACGAACGTAGGTCATGGGTTCGAGCCAATATCTTATTTGTTTTCTTTGTAACTAAGAAAATAGAATTGTATTGTGAAGATCGTGTTACAGTCACATATATTATCGCTCACTTTATTTATATTTGTGACTAATAATATTGTCTAAGTATTTCAAACACTAAAATGCCGAATAGTAATATTATGGATTGATATGGTTTTCGAACGTGGCAACACTATCCCTGTCGGGTATTCGCGCGGTTTTGTTTTTGACAGCAACAGATTAATTTTTGTAAAACAACATAAAACAAGTGAATACAAATTATTATTGAAGAAGTCTGAGTTTTAATTAAGATCACCATCCTTCTGAGCGTTTTAATCGAGTGCATTTTAACACTGCACATATACGGGTACATTCATATTATTTACTAACTTGGACCTAACAATCCTGCTGATGCAAATATTATAAATGAGAATGTTTGTGTGTTTGTTTGGTATTCCTTCACGTCAAAACGGCTAAAGCGGTGGCGATGAAACCTGGAACAGGGGTAGATTATGGTCTGAAACAACACATAAGCCACTTTTTACCCACGGGTACGCGCGTGAAGACGTTGTTTGACGGAAAACATACAAACAAAGAAACTCACATTTATAGATAACTAGCTTTTACCCGCGGCTTCGCTCGCGTCACAAAAGGATGAAAAGCCTATGTGGCATATACACACAGCGCCATCTATACGCCATATTTACGTCTGCAAAAATCAAAGCAATCGGTTTAGTGGTTACGGCTTGAAAGCGGAACAAACAAACAAACAAACTCACTTTCCGATTTATAATATTAGTAAGGATAGTAAGGATAATAAGGATTAGTAAGGAGGCGCGGTTTCACACGCTCTGCTCAGCTCCTATTGGTCGCAGCGTGATGTTCAATGGCCTATAGCCATCCTCGATAAATGCGCTATCCAACACAAAAAGAATTATTCAAATCAGACTTGTAGTTACGGAGATTAGCGCGTTCAAACGAACAAACAAACAAACAAACAAGAAAACAAACTCTTCCGCTTTATATAACAGTATAAGATTAGTGTGATCTACAAAAACTTGAACCTAACTGAAACAGTTTTATAGAGCCTTACAACCACCCCGTTTAAGTGTCAAGTCAGTAGAAAATGGAGTTGGTAATATATGGTAATCCAACTATCCGTCACTTGTTAATTCAGTTCAGGGGAGACAATCATTGATTGAATCAAACGCGGGCAGGGTAGAGATGTGGACTGTGGACTGTTTTGTATATTATATTGTAACATAACTTAATATCGCGCCTTTCAACCCCCAAGGGATAGGCATAGTTGAACATTATGGCATTTAACTCGTCGAGTACCGTCATTATAGACACAATTATAGAACAATAGGTTGCGGTCACCGGTGACCGCTTGGTGTTTGACAGTTTAATGCCACTTGAACAATGCAACATCCACTTTTCACTATTTATGTTATGAGTCTCATGTAATAGGGGGAGCCTATTGCCATATAACTGGGGTCAATTCCAGACTCCATGCTACTACTAAGATTTTTTTTATAAGCCCAGTAATACTTACTCAAAGGTTATATGGTTAATTCCAATTTATACTTTAAGTAGTTCATAGTCTCATATCATAAAGGGGTGAATTCACAGTATTATTAGGGGGTCATTCAACGGACACAATTCCTGACTCAATGCTATAACTAAATATATTTTGAAAAACTAGGCTAAAACTCCCTATTAAACTGTCAAACACCAAGCGGTCACCGGTGACCGCAACCTATTGTTCTATAATTGTGTCTACAAAACCGGTACTCGACGAGTTAACACTCTAACCTGGGGGCTTATTGGGAGTCACGGAGAACCTAACGGATAACCGGGGCTCCGGCTCGACGTGCAGGAGAAGGAACGGGGTGGTTTTTAGTCACTAAGAGTCTGACACTCCCTCCCGCCTCACCCAGGCGGAAGCAGTTATTCGATGATTTTCCCCCCTTAAAAAAAAACATTGGGGGCTTACTCTTGAATCCAATTCCGATCGATCGATATTGGCATTGTGATGATCGACATTCGTACTTTTGCGTTGCAACACTGGCGCCCATTGCATCCATATTGCGTGGATATTGAATGAACTAAATGGTTGAGTGTGGCTTTATATTCCGTACTCTGAATGCTATTTTAACAGCTACAATAGGGGTTGTATAGTTTTGACATTGAATAATTACTGAGATTTTATTGGATTGAAATTGCATTGACTTCAAGATTAAGCACCCTGAACCCAGCATTGAACTTGAAATCCCTTATTCATCAGTTGTATTCGTGGACAGTCGTCTTAACGGTAGAGTTTTTTTTATCTTTTTTAACCAACTTAAAAAAGGAGGTTCTCAGTTGTCAAATTGTATGTATCTACATAAATATGTATATAGATATGTATTGTGCGCAATTATCTCACGATTGGCTGAACGGATTTTGATGCCGTTTTCAGAAATATGTTAATCACACTTAGGAAAAAGTCTAAATATATTAATCAGCCGACTTCTAAAAAGAGGGAGTTGAAAACTGCCTCGTTGACCAAGTGGTCGCGAGTGCGACTGCCGGGCAAGGGGTTTTGGGTTCGATTCCCGGGTCGGGCAAAGTATTACTGGGTTTTTAAAAAATTCTCAGTAATAGCACGGAGTCTGGAATTGTGCCCGGTATATGGCAATAGGCTCACCCCCTATTACATGGGACTCATAATGTAATAGTGAAAAGTGGGTGTTACATTATATACAGTGGCATAAGCACGCACCTCTGCTTACCCCTTCGGGGATCAAAGGCGTGATGTACGTCTTTGAAGTCTTTTTATGTACCTACTTAATTTATTAATTTAAAACGTATATTTGAACGGATTTTGAAACATCAATACATAGTATAAAACAAAGTCGCTTTCGCTGTATGTCCGTATGTATGCTTAGATCTTTAAAACTACGCAACGGATTTTGATGCGGTTTTTTTTAATAGATAGAGTGATTCTTAAGGAAGGTTTGTATGTATATACATATTGCACCCGTGCGAAGCCGGGGCGGGTCGCTAGTAGTTTATAAATAATACTTGTATTTATTACAAAAAATATTGAGACATTCAGATCACATCCCTATACCTGTCTCCTAACATTTACGTAATTGGTCAAGATCGAGTAATATTACCTACGTATCTCCATCACGTACACACGACATCACATTAACCTATACACAACCAGTTTATCATAGTCTAGCTTTATATGATCTCTCCGTAGAATTAACGGTCAGGATATACTGGTTTTGCGTAGCTTTGTTTGTGTGTGTACCAATGGCCCCTGTTTGCTGAAATAGATTAATAGTGCCTTCGACCGGTTGGATCCGGATTCGGATTCGATGCAAAAAGAGTTATGTGAGGATATTTGTATTATGGTAACTATGGCACAGATGTTATAGAGTTGCCTCGAACATTTTTTGTACTAGTTCTTTGTTCACGGTTTTGCCTATGTTCTTAATAATAATGTCTTCCTTCCTTCCTCCCTTCAGGGGTGAAGGGGTAGGCAGAGGTGGACATTACAGCACTTATACCCACTTTTCAGTATTTATGTTTTGGGTCCCATGTAATAGGGGGTTGAGCCTATTGACATATACCGCGCACAATTCTAGACTCCGTGCTTACTGATTTTATTTTAAAAACCCAGTAATACTTTTCCCGACCCGAGAATCAAACCGTAGACCGCTTGACCGGCAGTCGTACTTGCGACAGTTATGTTGTTCAGTAACTAGGTATTGATCTGGGGCTATAGTATGTAATTGTACCATAGTAGCAAAATTGTATACACAGTGATTGCATAATTGCAGATTTATCAATTAAATAACAAGTGTCAAAATCAATAATTATGAAATTCATGTTGTAGAATTTGACAACTATTGTAATGGCTAAGGCCATTGTAAGTTAAAGTTGAAATTCAGTTAAATCCAAATTAGGTACAAAGTGAAAAATAATAAATACTTCAGTCATTGTTATCTACAATCCATTTCAAGAAATACTGAGATGCTAAAAAACTAACAATATAAAATTAATAAACAAATATCAATCGTGTGGCATCCAAAAATCTAATTTCAAAACAAACTTAATTACATTGCAATTACAAACAAGCTAAAGTCTATTTTTAAAAACTCACAATTGTAAATTAAAAGTACAATGAAGGAGTTTCGTTGATACTCGATGATAAACAAGCTGCCATCTTGGATCATGGCGAAGACGCCCCGCCCCCTTATTAGGTCAGGCCCTTCATTAATTGTCGACCGTGCAACTTTTCTTGAAAGGAACAGCTCAGCAATTAACAAGGCTTCTTCGGTCCTAGAAGTCCTAATTAGAGATTTAATAAAAGGAATATCTAAATAGAGTAGTTTTAAATCTGACTGATGAATAGAAATAAATAAAAAAAGAAAGTAGAGAGTAG